CTGGCAACAATGTGGAGCTGGGCTTGCCAGTGATATGGAATGCTGCCTTAGACCCCCCCACCTGCCCTAGAGACCAGACTCCTTTCCCAACACTGGTAGGCACCTGCCCACACCCCCTCTACACACACACATATGACCCACACAGCCCCCCGGACAGTCCACAAGCCCTGCCCCTCCAACCTCCCTGCCTCCCACAGACTTCCTTGTATCCAGTTGCCACAGCTGCTCCCACCACCCTGCCTGGCTGTATGCCGGCCACATGTGTGTGCACACACACATGCATGTGGCACCCCCTGCTTCCAACTCCCCTCCTCTCACCCAAAGCAGCCCCTCGATGACTAGGAGGCTGCCAGCCTGCAGGGGGAACCTCACAGTTTCCTGCATTTTTCTTCTTTAAAGGGGAACATCCGTGTAAAATCCATGTTTTTCCACGGTGAACAGAAAACCCAAATCCCTGCTTATTAGTGACTGGCTTAAGCTATGAAGTCTATATAGCCTAATATTTTTCTGCATTGAATCTAATGTAACTGTGGCTATTTTCATTATTCATATAAATAATTTGGCCCTTTGTAAATCTTCGTAAGTACTTAGCTTCAATGACAACTTGCGGCAGTGAATTATACTTACATGATGTTACCACTCTATTTCAGAGTACACATTGAAATGAGACTTAAGTAATTTGAAGCTCTCATTTAACACCTCACTTAAGCAAGTCAGAGGTTGTTCACTCTTACCCTTTCACATAGATGTCACTCATTTCTTCCCCTGTGATACTTCTTTCATCTAGCACAACATCTTTGGTGTTCCAAATAATTACCCGCAGGATGTACCTGAGGGAGGAGAGGATTGGGGAAAGAATGAATTGGCCATGTCCATACAATGAAGCTATGTGCAGCATGCCAACATGTATAGCTACTCACTTCTTTGCTTTGCGGGGAGTGATGTTGAAGGGTGGGCCAGGAGGTCCCAAGCTTTTGGGAAAAACATCCACCCACATCTGAATCTTTCCCTGTGTCAATGAAAAAGTCAAATAAGGTATTTTGTTTGGCATGTTAATTTACGACTGAATGCCAGGGGCCTGCAGTAGGCTGTCCAAAGCCTTAAATCAGGGGTCAGCAGCCTTTGCTAGCAAGAGCCAAAGCTTAGGATGTGGCCATTGCTGCATGCTGGAAGTCTGACCGCTGCCTTAATTGGTGCCCAGAAGCCACTGAGTACATCTTGAACTGATTGTAGCCACAGTCTCAGGTCCAGTTCTCTTCCACTAAAGCCACATGCTCTGGGGGCGTTTTTACACATGCTCTGGGGGAGGGGGTGGGGACACTTTAATTAGACTGGCTCCAAAAGCCAGTCTAATTAAAGCTCCCACAATGTCTCATGTATCAGCATCCCCGTGCTTCAAAATGGTGGTGGGGGTGCTTTAACTAAAGCTCGTTTGATCGACAGGCTTTGGTTACAGCACCCCCACTGCCATTTTGAAGTGCGGAGATGCTGATACACAAGACAGAGGCTGGCTGGTACATGCTAATTAGCACGCACCAGCAGACTCAATTAATCGAGCGTGCTCTGATGCATTTTAATTACAGCATGTTGGAGCAGCCTCCCAGGACATTTACAGGTACCCAAAATTCTTAACAAACCTAATGGGAACAAGGCTCGGCCCTCAATTCGAACACATTTTGAAAATCAAAGGAACCGCGCTTGAGAACAAAGGTATCTAGATACCCAACTTCTATTGAAATCAGTGGAAGTTATGTGCCTACATATCTCTGAAGCTCTGCACCCAAATTCCTGCTCTGTTTTAGGATATTATGTGATTGCACAAGTGTACCTGATACCTGGCAGTGGGTGACCTGGATTACATGGGCAACATGTCTTTTCCCTAGAAGACCATCTTAGTTAGATGAGGTCATCCTCCTGATTTGTTCTAAAATGGCCAAAATGTGACCACAGTAGACTGTACTCTGTTTCCACTGAAAATTTCTTTCATTATTAACAAACTCCTTCACCATAAGAAGCCATTATTTTCTGTAGTGCTTCTCATAGATACTTTTCTGGCAGATGTTGAGCACTGTAAAAACCATCTACTTATATTTAGTGAATGTTGGGCTGTAAGAACTATATTCAGCCCTCTGGCACAGGTCACCCTCCTGCATATAGGAGGTACTGCTGAGAGAAGCTATCAGATGTTGGTAGTGATACACTACTCTGGGGGTTTCTCTGGGGCAGGACAGCTTTAGTGGCTTAGAGGGGCTCTGTGAGAAGCAAAGTTTGTGAGTTCAATCAGTACATTCCACCCTCCTTTTACAAGTACCCAATGAAAAACATAGACATGTATTTAGGAAATACCCTCTCCTTGTGGCTTTGCTAACTGTTCCCCTGGCCTCTTCCATGTCTCCATCCAGGGTACTTAACAGTAGAATTAAACTGCATTTATGTAACCTCTCAGTGTGAGCTTGATCTAGAGTCTGGATGCCACCATTCTGTTGTGCTGCCCTTTTCCCTTCACTGATTCCCAGTTATAAATCAGTGCACTAAGTTTCTGTATTTCAGAAATCAAAAGCCAGTTTGTAGCACCTGGGCGATGTTGGGCTGGAATGTGCTGTACAAGGTCCTTGTTTCCACGTGTTCAGGTACCAAGCCCTGAGTTCTAAGGATATGAAGTGCTAGACGCTCATCACTTGGCCCTAGATGCTGGTGCAGTTTTTTGTTAGCCTCTGAAATGAAAAGAATGGTAAGAAGGCAGAAATACATGTATACAATAGTCTACATTTGTCCTTCTAAAAAACCAAACAACTATATCAATGTGTAGATTTACTAAAAAGTTAACATGCAGTAGGTGACATGCTCACCAAATTCATCCAAGGTGTAGTCTTGCCCTCCATAAGTAATCCTGCTACCGTTTTCTGAGTGGACAGGAGGAGGGTAACCTTTAAACCTGGCTGTGTTCTGCAGCAGTTGAGTTGGTTTCTGTTGATCTCGCCAGTTATTTACACCTGAACTTTTAGGGAACAAGCAAATCTCACAATTAGTCCTCAACATGTAGAGATACATTTAATATTTATTAGCAAAATCATTGGTAGCACTATCCCCTATTTGGCTACTGACACTGCTAGATGGGTCTGGGTTTTGTAAAGGTAAAAGTCCATTTAAGGTCAATTAAAACTATTCAATGTGTATATATTTTTTATGCATCAAACTTTTAAGCCCTGAATTTCCAAATTAGGGATTCGGGAAGTCATTTATGGGAATTTCATTTTATTGAAAAAAATACTTTCCTGTTTATTTTCCTGTGCATGTCAGAGAATTTTTCTTGTCCACTTCCAGGTCTGCCATTGAGCGCACAGGGGATCCCGCTGTACACCCCCGGGCTCAGCGATCGGCTGTGGGGGGACCCCAGGTGCCCCCCAGGCCCAGGAGGCACTAGTCACTGAGCTGAAGGGCAGGAAGGGGTCCCCTACATGCTCCATGGTAGACCTGGAAGTGGACCGGAAGTACTTCTGGTCCACTTCCAGTTTCGCTGTTGACCCCCTCTCCCCCTGCCCCCCTGGCGCTCCCATGGGATACTCCATCTGCCCCACCATCTCAACATTCATGAGGTACACCTGGTACCTCGAGGTACATATAAAAAACATATAAAGCTGTGTCTATGGCCAAATCATCGAATCTCGCCGAATTGATTTGGAGGCATCCAATTCGATTTGGAGAGATGAAAGAGTCTCCTGATTCGATTCAGATTCAGCCGACAAATCGGGTTGCATCTCCCCCGAAATGAATCAGTGGCTGAAGCTTCACATAGCCCTTCTGACTATATGAGATCCTGAGGCTGCTGCAGCATGCTAATTAGCACACTCCATCAGACTTAATTAATCAATTAATCTGATGTGCTGTAATTAGAGTGTGTCGAAGCAGGTGTCCTGCATGTCTACAGGCACCCTATGTTATCTATGCTCCCTCTGTGTGTGTGAGCAGTACACTTATCAATAAAAAAGTGCCTCATCAGAGGAAGCATCTATCTAAAAGTCTGAAGTAATATTATACATGATGTACCAGCATACCAACCAGGCAGGTGATGCCATAGCATTTTTTTTTATAGTCAAATGCCAGTGAAGAGAACTGTTTTTGTTTCAGTGGTTAGAGACTAGACCTGTGCAAAGCGGCTAGTATTCACTTCAGATTTGGATTCAGCCGATTCAGGGGATAGTGATTTGATTTGGTGATTCGAATCACTGTCCTGTATCTATCTGGCCAAATCACCAAGGTCCATCCCACACCCGCTCTCCCAGCACGGGCAATGGCTGCCCTGCCTGCCTCAGCTCCCAATACTTTGACTCACTAGGTACTGCCAGGCAGGGGGGCAATCCCCGCTGCCCCCCACTGCCTCATGCTGCATGGAGGGATCTGCCACGAGCTCCCCGCCCACTCCCCCAGCCCACACCCATAGCTGCCCACGCACCCCAGCTCCAGCCCTTTAAGAAAAGAAAAAAACCCAAAAACCCACCAGACTCACCGGTTCCTGCCTGGGGATGGGCAATCCCCGCTGCCCACCACTGCCCCATGCCACATGGGGGGCTCTTCCACGAGCCCTCCCTTCCCCCCAAAGCCCTGAGGCCACTGCAGGAGCCGGTACATCTGGGTTTTTTTTGGGGGGGGGCGGTGATTCTTAAAGGGCTGGAGCTAGGGCAGGTGGGGCAGCCATAGAGGGGCTGGG